AATCATCATCATATTTATAATGTTTCTAAGTTACATATGACTGTTATTAACATTTAAGAATTTTGATGACCTTCCATAACCACCATCGAAATCGTACAGAACGCAAGAAGAATTTTCAGCTACGCTGAGAAAACCGAAAACTTTTCAGGATTGACAGGGGGGGTCACCCGACGCACACATACACTCATCGGGCCAGCTCTATTTGTGATAAGAAGAATTTTACTGCTGATCAAATTGATAGTCTGAGTTCTACTTTAGACAAAAACAGCCTATTTTTTGCAGTCATCCGAGAAAAACAAACAAAGACAGAACAACAAATACAGTTTGTGATCTACATATCTTTTTAACATTATAGCTCAAACTACTTCGATTTGTTTAATAATAAAAGATATTTTTATAATAATATTTTTCAATATCATAAAGATTTCTTTCTTTTTTAATTTATGTCGTCATAAAAAAATAAATGAAAGAAATTTTTTTGATTTTATTATTACTTACAGAAAAGAGTGAATATGATGTGTGAATCATTTTATGCGACGGCGATAATACATTATCTGGACTCTTGGATCGAATCCATTTCATGGGTTTTAGTTGATTTATAGTCATTGCCGATCTTGTTCGATAAAATGACATTATAAAAAGTAGATTGACAAACATTCGCCAAGTTATTGCGTTAAAACAACGACAACTACAAATAATTCTTCATTACGTGTGAGAAAATAAGGATTATTGTGTTATTGTTTTTGCGTTGATGATATAAATAAATATATACGGAAACAGGGAAAAAAAATACAAAAAAAAAAAAATGTCAATGTTTTTTGTTATATGTGTATATGTTACCGGACACGATGTTTAAAATAGTCGAACAAATCTTTCGTCGTTTTTCTTTTCTCTCTATATGTACAATAATACACCATACATATACGCATACACACACTCACTCACAGATACAGATTTGTTGTTTAATAATTAAAAAAACTATAAAAGTAAAAATAATAATCAAATGATAATGATAATAATTTTCAGCTACAATCGACCTGCGACTAACTATATGTGTAATGTACTCTGAAATGATCGTTTAATAAAAACTTTTAAAAAGAAGTTTATACATGCTCTATCACTCTTTCTCTCTTCCTTCTCATACTTTTTTTTTCTTTTTCCATTTTTTCTCTTACTCTACTTTATTAAAATAAAATTAATTGTAGTGTAACGGAAAGAAAAGTTTTCTTTTTCTCTTTACTCGTTAACTAAGGATCATTGCACGAGAGCTATGACTAGCAATGTTCAATGACCATGTCAGATTTTTTTCAAAGTATCCTCGTATTGTAGAGCATACTAAATTATCTTTGACTTCTAATTTTTAACTGTTTTAATATTTTCAACATAGCGAGAATATGTTAAATTCCAGATTTTTTCGAAAAATTCGTGGCTCAATAAAAAAATGGTCGTATAGTTCTGCGGAACACCTCGTACTATTCAGATTTTTGAACTCTATTGAATAAGGAATTTTTCATTTTTTTTTGGAAAACCCGACTTTCCATAGACCCTTAGAGAGATTCAAACTTTTGATTTCAGATTTGCATAGGTCGTGGTCGATAGTAGTACAAAAAGCACTCTTGTAAAATTCTACTAAACCAGGCCCGCGATCGGATAAAACAAAAATCGAACACTAAGGGGTTTTTGGAGATCCAACTTTTTAGGTCTGTAGTGTAGGTATTTGAACTTTAAGACTGCCAGTAGATAGAAGACATCGTCTAGTATATGTGATGAAAAAATCGTGACTGAATCTCTCATCGTTACAAAGAAATGAAGTTTTTAATTTTACTCCGTTATTTTCTCGGAACACTTCTTTTGTTGTCAGACCCCTAAGGAAAACTTTCATAACTTCTGAAGGAAAAGTTCGGGAAAGCTAAAAATTTGGATTTATAAATAACTCGGTATGCTCTACAATATGAGTACATTTTGCAAAAAAATCTGAGATGATCATTATGCATTGATAGTCGTGGCTCTCGTAGTGCCGTTCATGTTCATGATCTACTGAGCTTTTTTTTGATCAAAATTCCCAATAGAATTTCGATCAATATGTTAAAAATTTGTTATTTTTTTATTTAATTTTTTAAAAATTGGCACTCGCTTAGAAAAAGAACGTTTTCTCCGATAATAGAATAAGAATATGTTAGAGAAGAAAAAAATTATGAAACAGTCTTTTTTCTTTGAGAGAAAGAGAAACTAAGTGGAAATAAAAACTATAATAGTGCAATTTATTTATCTATTTTGTTGAAATTAATCTTCTGAAAGGAACAACGAAAGAGAAAAAAAAATATATGATGAAACCTATTCGTGTACAACAAAATCTTAAATGAGTAAAATTAAAAAAGAAAATAATAATTTCCTTTTTTTTTTCTGGTTAGATGTAAGACTAAGCCTTTTCTGTCAATCCCAAGCAAACAAATCATTTAGAACATGAATATATTTTAGACAAAATCAAAATTTCTTTTTGTCTGCGTGAACATCGTACAATATATTCTATTCAGATAATTGACTCTATTTTATAAAAGATGTGTATAATATTCTACGAATAGTTTTTTCATTTACGTTTAACACCATTTCCAGAATATAAACAATATAATGACTCAACTGAGATATAATTCATATTTTAATCAAGTATATCAGTTGAGAAAAACAATTTTTCTACGAAAATATTCGTTTCATGGCTGAGATACAATTTTTTCGAAATTAAGTGACATGTGTGCTCGTGTAATGATGCAAAAAGAAACTCAAAGAGATTCTTCTTCATGGATGATGAAATTAATCTAGAAGAATATCGTCATTTTTTCACATCATTTTCTCTATAACTATTTGGAAAATTTTCTCAAAATTCGTAGTTCAAACATAGGCACCGATGACGAAAACAAGGAGAATGAATGAAATAATTAATTTTATTGTTATTCTTTGCACATACATGTGATAACTTAATAATAATTTAATACATAATGACCATATAATGTGAAAATAATTCAAAAGATAGTCTATCTCTCTTTTTTGACAGATTATTCCATTGTTTGATATTTCAATTGAGAAATGAATATTTTTCGGAGAAATATTGTTTTTTTTTTTTAATTGAGATACTTGATTAAAATATGGATTGTATCTCAAGTTCAGTTTAAATCTCAAATGATGTTAACCATTAGTATGATGTTATTTTTTGAGAAAAAAAAAAGAATTTCTAAGCACTTGGATGAACTATCTCATTATATTACAATCACTAAAGCAAAAATAATGTAGATGATATAAAAAATGTAGTTACTGTCATTTCAAATTAGTCATATGGACGTACAGTGCACTTAGAAATCTCTTTTTGACGTAAAACGAAACGAAATATGACCATTTAACTGTTCAAGTGAACTTAATTCTTGGTCGTGTATGTTTGATAATGTTGTTTCAACATTTGAATCTAAAGTGGTCACATTTTTGAGAATGCCTATTCTATTACGATCGTATTTTTTAATAATGTTCAAAATATCAAAAGACGAAATATCATTAGATAATGATTAAACTTCAAGAAGTTACGTTATCCGGTCCTTAGAGAAATACGAAATAGAATTAAACCGAAAAAAGACTAATTATTATTATTTCATTTATCACAATTTAACACACACACACATATATATATAAAAGGGTGTTCCAGAAGTTCTGAAGTAATTTTAGAATGATGCATTTTAAAATTACTTCAGAACTTCTAGAACACCCTTTATATATATATACATTCTGTAAAGAAGATAAATTGAAAATTTTCTAATATTTTATTTTATTTTTTTTTGTTTAGAAAAGAAAAAAAATTTACCTAACAGCAGGAGATTAAATGAGGATAATAAATGTAATAAATAAAAATGACAACACTTTAAAGAATATATACGAAATTATAAAATGTTATAGTGGGCGATATTAATTAGTAAAAAAGAATGAGTGACTCTTGTCTTACTATTTTGTACTCTGATTTCATAGACAATTATTCCAATTATCGATAATTATCTTAATGTCAAAGAGATATATAGTATAAATGATTCTCATGAAACATCATACACACGTACAATTATCAATGGTAGTTATGGAAGGTCATCAAAATTCTTAAATGTTAATAACAGTCATATGTAACTTAGAAACATTATAAATATGATGATGATTATGATAAAAAAGGAGATGGGGATATACTCTCTCTAAATCAACAATAAATAATTGATTGACAGATACAAAATATGAAACTCGAATATTTGTGAATTTATTAATAAACATTAGTGATTTTATTGAAAGATTAATATTAATTTCTCTCTCGTAGAATCGTATAAGATTTTACATTGATAAACTTCTTCTATCTATATAAAACTTACTTTTTTAGTAATGTCATGTTGAATCGAAATAGCACGTTTCATATTGTTGTTGAAATTTTATTATAAAACACTCGATGTAAAATAAAAATAGTTTAAATTAAGTTTGTTTTCTTCTTACGAAAAAAAACCGTCTACCCGATAATAATGGTCACTCGTTTCTCAAATTAAAATATAAAAGAGGATTTTTAACAAAGAAAACCTTATAATGAATATCCCGTTCTTCTTCTTCTTCTTCTTTTTTTAGATTAACTTCTTTCCATGTAAAAGTTAATTGTTTTTTTGTTCATTTGTGTGCATACCCACATACTCTATCAACTAGGTAGTATGCTATCAAGGTGAACAAACATGCGTTTCACGGAAAAATACTTCTATCAGATAAATTAAAAAAACAATTGGTGAATAGATAATAATGCTTTCAATGTGTGTGCACGTGTATATAAATTATTATCATGTTCTTTTGAATGGATGCTCCTTTTCTAGTAATTATACTAAAAGGAGTTTTTGTTTTTTTATGTTGATTTCTAAACATTTTTTCTTCTATTTAGTTCTATAAAATAATTAGAGAAATTTTTTACTGAAAAAAAGAAATGCATGAGGGTATGCATGAGGGGAATACTTTGTTACTGCGAATATATAAAGTTATTTACATTTCTATGATGTTAATCGATTAACGTAAAAAGTTTTTAGAAAAAAAATATCTATGGATGCCAGATCCAAAAGGTAATAATCAGAAAAAAAGAAGAATACACTTTTTTTCTACCATAACGGTTTATTATATCTTTTTTTTTTGTTTTCGATACTAGTTACGTTACTATCTTTGTGTTCATGTACTTCTTCATCGAATTAAATTATATTCACATTCACATAAGAACAAACAACATCAGGGCTGTAATTGATCATAAAAAATGTGCAGTTTTTCAAATTAGTAGCTAGATATAGATGTCTATAGTGTATTCATTAAATTTTGTAAAAATTCTAGCTCTTCATATAAGTAGACTACAAAGTTAAAGAGCATGTAAGTGAAATATTTTCTTTAAAATATACAAGTAAAGTCTAGCAATTAGATGAACAGATGCCTAAGATTAGCATAGAACAAAGTACTTTTATTTATGAAAGGCATCTTTTCCAGGAACATCTTGTCTATTAACAAAAACTTAGTTGCTAGACTTTGTTTGTTATTTTGAGAAAACGTATTCAAGCCATAGATGAAGACATTGTTCAACTCTGTAGTACATTGTTCTTCAACTCTTTAATGAAGAACAATGACTATCCTATATGTAACTGACTAACATAAAAGTATGCAAAATATCCATGTACACAGAAGACTTATTCCCTACATTAGTACCGCTCAAATAAAAAATGATATATATGTCATTGTGACATGAGGTGCGTGTACTATGAATCATCTCTTAGTTCAGTTCAAAACGGATAAAAATTTAGAATTAGAAATTTTCTATAAAAATCAGAAAATCTGAGATCCCTGCAGGAAATGACACGTGAAAATTAGATCTAAAATTCTTAAAACTTTGTGATGAACACTGATTTCTTCGAGAATTTATATTGTAAACGATATCTATTCTTTGAGAACTATCCCCTGCAAAACTTATTGCTTGTTATAAAATAGTGAAATATGAAACTAAGTTTTTTTTACTAAAAATCCTATTTTGAATGGCGACAATCACGCTAGATATGAAGTATAAAAGAAGTTACATACCATTGTTCTAGGCAGTTTTTGTTGATTGGTCAATAATGGTGGTATTGTGTTCACTTCACTTTTACTTCTTGGTATTTGTCGTTTACTTGCATCGTCAAATAATTTTTTTCGTACTTGAGGCGATGGATTTGATTGCGATGACTGTCTTGCGCTTGCTGGAATTTTAGTGTTATAATCGACTGTAGTATTATCCGTGATATTTCGATCTTGTTCAAAATTATCCTCTTCTACTTCTTCTTCTTCATTTTCATTACTACTTTTATCATCATCGGCTTCGAGTGAAAATTCCGGTGCACTAGCAGATGATGAAAAGTCGTATGATGTCACTGTTAAATTCGGTGATGCTTTTAATCGATTATATTCTTTTACAGACAATGTGTCTTTTTGCTTGTGAGTGAACAATGTAGATGTAGATGTTTGATCAAATCTTGACGTTCGTATATCAATTGTTGATGGTGGCTGTTGAAGAAGAGGTGATTGATGTGATGTTATTTTAACTCGAGGTGAAAATGATGTGTTTGCCTGGGGTACTTTTGGAATTGTGGTGGTTTGTGATGAATTTAAATTACATTTAATAATAAAATGTGAATAAAGAGCAGAGTCTGTTGAGTCTTCTCCACATGAACGAGATAATTCAGAGTAAGCACCTGAAGAAGTCGTCGAAGCATTTGATACTTTTCGACCAAGAGATGAATCAGATGGTAGAGCTAATGCTGTTGCTGTAACCATTGTGGTAGAAATTGGATTTGAGTTAACGCTTTGTAACGGCCAACGACCAGTACTATCGTGATCCACTTGTACTCCCTAGAATGAAATAAAAGAACATGTTAAAGATAAACATATATGAATGTTTTTTATGAGACGTGTGATCAAAAAAATGTCTGTTGCATTGTGAGATTAAAAAATTCTATTCTTCAATACTAGAGCAAACATTTGAACATGATAATGATTTAGCAAGCCTTCTGTCTGTGTCATTATTTTATTTCTCAAAATTTGACTATACCGTTAAAAACTGTGCTCATACATAAATAAAGCCTGATATTTGAGTTATTGAAGAGAAAAAAGAGGTTGAAATTATATGCTATATACTAAAAAAAAAGAATAGGCTAATAAAAACGATGACATTTTCGTTCATACGAAACAAAAAAAAAACGATGATAATAATAAGAATTTTTTATTCAGATTATTAGTCTGAATAATAGAATAATCTAGTTCAATTGTTAAAACGGGCGAAGAAAAAAAAGAATTTTTAACAAAAGTTTGAAGCTCATTAACCATTGCCAAATTTTCTACGTGATTTATCTTACCAAAACGAGAAAATAAAAAAAACGGGTTTTGTCTCGTTTTTTCATACCGAAGAACGAGTTAAAAAGCGTTTTTTTATTTACTCGTTTTGGTGAGACAAATTACGTAGAAAATTTAGCAATGGGATACATTAGATCGATTTATAAAGTTCGACTATGAGAAGTTGGATGATAATCAGTTTAGAAATCTCAGGATAATATTATATCTAACCTTTTAGGGTAACATAACTTTTCTATAGATTCAAAGACTATTAGTATTACAAAGCATAATTAAATCATTGAACAGATTGTTAATATTGTCTCACAGTTGTGTTAAAAAACTCAATTCTGGATAATTAAAACCGTTCATAAATTACCGTTTGAATGTTTGATAGTTTTTGAGCAAATAAACTTTTAGAGATAAGAATATATAGTGCATGTGCAAACTATAGAATAGTTATTTTAAAATAAAAGAACTATGATTCTCAGAATTGTATATGTTCTATACTTGATGAATTTTGCGGAAGAAATGCTGACGTCACACATACACATACACAGAAAGAAAGAAGGAAAATATAAATTTTCTCTTTTGTGGATTATCTATCAGTAGCTCGATTAAAAAAACTAGACGATGTTTGCAGTCATTACGATTAGGTAAAGTGGAAATTTTATCATAGTATGATTATCAGTAGTTATTAGACTATTTGACTAAATAAATTTCAATAAAATATCCAGGCCTGGCTCATAGTTGTCTCCTTCTTTGATGTCTTTAGTTGCATGGTTAATTTTGAGATAGGACTTATGTATTCAGAATAGAAATGTAAAATTGAAGTCAGATACAAGGTAAAATCTTCACTTCATTGTTAACCGAATATATATATATTATACATTTCTTTCTGGACAAAGTCCAAAGGCAGATAAATGATAAAAGTTGACTTTTCGATTGTGTATTATCGATTTTTGATCTCTATAGTTCCACCAGATTAAATATTTATGGGCGCTAAGACATACTATCATCGAGTTTCGGACTTGTTATATTTTATGGTTTTTTAGTCCCAAAATATTGTGGTTAAAAGTTTGAAAGAAATGTGTGTTCAGCTGAAATCCGATTCCGAGTATAAGCCATCATCCACAAGCCAAATAATGCCTAAAAAATTTACCGCTGTAGCAGTAATCCTCTACGCAGATGATGAATGTGGAGTCCAACAACATATTTGAGAGCTTCATCCAAGGACTGTAGGGTTTTGCCTCACATCTGGCTTCAGTTTTTCACTTTTTAATCTCAACAAGTAAGTCCTATCTAAAAATTTAATTGAAGAAATCGAAGTAGGTATGGATGACAATGATGTTTTATTGCCTAAACTACTGATAATCATACTAGACTGGAGTTTTCGAATTACCTGATCACAATGAGTGCAAATGTGGTCTAGTTTCAAGAAAACTTCTGCAATCGTTTGTTCTGTCCTGAACAAATGATGATGTTTGACTAATGATAATATTATCTATTTGTTAAACAAGAGACAAATTTATTTATTCGAGACGAAGAAAATCTCTCTTCACATAGATAAATCTTTAGTCTATGACAATGATCCATGCACTTACTCAACTATCCAAATTGTTAATATTTATGCATTGTTCCATTGAATCAAAAAAAACGGAAGAGAGGATAAACAACATCATTATGCAATGACGACGTCATCGTTTCTTTCCTTCCTATGGGTTATTAAATTGTTTATTATATTAATGAGAAAGATCGGGATGTGTTTTGATCAGCTGGAACAAGGTCTTGAATGACGATAGATATTCAAATACTGGATAAAACACAAATGACGTCAGCGTTTCATTCACGTATAAACGGAAGTTATTACTCTTTCTTTTTTATTTTCTATACGTAATATGCTCAACTATATGCAGTACCAAGCGAACAAAAAAAAAGGAAAATGGAATTACATAATAGAACAGAACTACGTCATACTATATCGAAGATGAACGATTTTCTCGTTCTGACATAAGTCTGAGGGTCAGAACAAATTATGATGACGTCGATGTTGCTATTGCAGAATAGAAAAAAAGCTAACCTTGTTTAATCTGATCAATGTAATAATAATAAGTCAAGTGTTTAAGAGAATATGGTATATGGTGTTGATTTCTATGTATACACACGTTCACTTAGTTTGTGCCAAATTACCAATATATATATTTATATGAAGAGCGACTGCCTACGTCTTGTTAAGTAGCGATTCTACACTCCCACACTTTTCTTCCAAAAAAAGTCAAAAGAATGGCTGTGGCTATATACTTATAAAATGTGACAAAATATAAAACATATGTTACACCAGAAATATTCAGTATTAAAACTGTGCATTTCTATTATTATATGAAAAAAATTTTTTAACTAGTTTGCAGACATGTAAAAGCTTCGATTTTTGTTGATTTAATTAGAGAATGATGTAACAATATACTATTATTTTGGTAAAAAGAGACAAAGCGTTCAAAATGCCTTGTTACACTTGTTTAGATAATTATTGCATCGCATACCTAATCCAATATAGATCATTTATGTTAATTACTTAGTAAAAGTCAGTTTCAGTTTTGAATTTCGTAAAATACAGCATGCAGTCACCGGTATATTTTACATTAGATGAGACATTAAACCATAGATCATTTAACGACTTCAGACTGCATGTAAGTGAAAAAAGTAAAATTGGTATAGATAACTATCAAAAGGTTCAAGCCATCTGGAAAATTTTACTTTTTCCAGGTCTTGGACGCGCGTGGGAGACCAGCAATTTATTTTGGAGTCTAACGTAGACATTTATCATGAGTGCTCATGGACCTACATGTGGTTCAATACATGGAAGCACCCTGTTAATGCATGGATCCACATGGGAATCCATGCGAGGGCAAGCATGGATAACGCCTGACAGTTAAATACCAGGCGTTAATATGCATGGAAGTCCACGCGTTGAAATGCGAAGAGCATATCTATGCGTATCCTCGCATGGATTTCCATGTGGATCCATGCATTAACAGGGTGCTTCCATGTATTGAACCTCATGTAGATCCATGAGCACTCATGACAAATGTCCACGTTAGACTCCAAAATAAATTGCTGGCCTCCTATGCGTGGCCAGGACCTGAGAAAGGCAAAATTTTCCAGATGGGAACCCATTCAATACATTCTTCACTGTGACACAAGTATAGGTTCCATTTTCCGGAAATTTGAATTTGATAATTTCGTAACGATGTTATCTGCTCCTGGGTGACCAACACTGGTCTAACAGATTAATGGTCAATGAAGAGTATCATCTGGCAAAATAAATAATTTAGTAAATACTGTAGTTATTCATCATCAAAACTTTTCACAGAATTTTCCACGGCTATATTTCTCTGAATTAAAACGACGAAGATGAGTGTTATTATGTATATTTTGTAAATTAAATGACTCCTACATTTATTTTCGTGATGTTTACTATTTACACGTCTAAATTAATCCATTTCGATTTACGTCATGCGAGAATAATGTGTCTGTATTTAACCTATTGTCTTGTGCATTCTGCCTTGAACATCAAGGTTTTTTCTCTTTCCCTCTCTAAACATTACCAAAGGAAGCGCACGTAAGCACCTCTTCTTTTTTTTATATGTTGAGTCTGAGAATAGACGAAAATAATAATAATAATATAAAATATATACCAAACAATTGGACAAAAATGATTTGTAAATAAATTTTCTTCTTTTCCCTTGCAGTTAGACAGATTTTTCTAGGACACAGAAAGACGTCATCAGTAGAGAGATGTACATAATAACGATATTTTAAAAAAACTTACGAATTATCATTACATTACTTCTATCACCTTTGGCTGAAGAACTACTCCCAGACATTTTTATGATGTATAGAAAATCAATTGTTTTTACACTAAAAACAGATACAATAACGAGTATTTGGTGGCCTTGTTTCAGTTTGAATAATAATAATAAACAAACAAACACATTATCATTAATATGACCTTGTTAAAATAAAAAAGTTGTTCTTTTAACAGAAATAGAAAAAAGAAATGAAGTCATCTCAGATAAGGAACGAAAAGCAATTTTTAAGAAACAGTTCAGAGTAAATGTATATTTTTACAAATAAATGGAGAGTTAATGCAAAATATTTAAGCAAACATTTTTCATTTAATTCTTGACTCAATTTCAAATATGAGAAATATCCATAGTTCATATTTTACAAACAATTCTCATAGTGGCGCAAAAAGAGCCAAGATATCTGGAAATCCGAGGAAAAATTTTTTAGAAGACGATCTGATGACATAGCTAAAAGGAAGCTCTTTGTTAGATTTGCATTATAAAAAAAAATTTCATAAAAACTAAAAGTTTTCAATTATATCTCACCAGAACGATTAATAGAGTTTGGCTTTGTAAATGTGAAGTAGTTTTCTTCAAATCAACGAAAATAAAGTCAAAAAGTGCTCGCGGAAGGGAAAGTGTTGGATTTTCCTCACATATGTACCCAAATCGGATATACCGCTGTTGTAAATTCTGAAAAAACTAGTGGGTCTGGGGTATTTTTGTCAGCAGAAAAATGCATTTTAAACAAAGTTAACAAAAAAGCTAGTGGAATACGTTTGAACCATAATGTTTACTCAACT